AGACCTCTCAGAATTCTAAAGCTCAGCATGAAAACCTACACAGATTGTGAATTACTGCTGATTTTTTTTATTCCTTCTTTTCCTTCTAAGAGATACTCTGTCCTATCATAAGATATTCTTATATTCTTGTAAGATATTCTACTTACCCATTTGTACATTTCTGCTTTAGGGACTTTCATCCCCTGCCCCTAGAATGAATGACAGAGTCTATAGAATAAGCAGGAAGGGAACCCACATTTAGTGAGCACTTACTGTGTGTTAGGCACTTACATGTCACAGCCAGCTTAACGTCACATGGTTTGTGGACCAAAAGAGCTGGGATTTGAACTCTGTTCTGATTAACTCCAAAGCCCATTCTCTTTCCACTATACATGAAATAAGACCCTTCAAAAAGAAGAAAATAGGGGTGCCTGGGTGGCTCAGTCATTGGACATCTGCCTTCAGCTCGGGTCATGGTCCTGGGGTCCTGGGATCAAGCCCTGCGTTGGGCTGCCTGCTTGGCAGGAAGCCTGCTTCTCCCTCCCCTACTCCCCCTGCTTGTGTTCCTGCTCTTGTTATCTGCTATCTCTCTCTCTGTCAAATAAATAACTAGAATCTTTTTAAAAAAGAAGAAGAAAATAGAAAAGACAGGTTGAACAAGGTATTTTGACATAGCCATAGTTAGGGGGATGGGGGATGGAAACAAAGGTAAGGAAGTAAGAATATGAAATTCACCTTCCCACCTAACACCAACTATGTTTATAAGAAGTCATGGTCAACCTAGGAATAACCTAACCAAAGAGGTAAAGGATCTGTACTCTAAAAACTACAGAACACTTATGAAAGAAATTGAGGAAGACACAAAGAAATGGAAAATATTCCATGCTCATGGATTGGAAGAATAAATATTGTGAAAATGTCTATGGTACCCAGAGCAATCTACACATTCAATGCAATCCCCATCAAAATACCATCAACATTTTTCACAGAGCTGGAACAAATAATCCTAAAATTTATATGGAACCAGAAAAGACCCCAAATAGCCAGAGGAATGCTGAAAAAGAAAACCAAAGTTGGGCATCACAATGCTGGACTTCAAGCTCTATTACAAAGCTGTAATCATCAAGACAGTATGGTCCTGGCACAAAAACAGACACATAGATCAATGGAACAGAAAAGAGAACCCATAAATGGACCCTCAACTCTATGGCCAACTAATCTTCAACAAAGCAGGAAAGAATATCCAATGGAAAACAATCTCTTCAACACATGGTGTTGGGAAAATGGGACAGCCACAGGCAGAAGAATGAAACTGGACCATTTTCTTACACCATACACAAAGATACACTCAAAATGGATGAAAGACCTAAATGTGAGACTGGAACCTATCAAAATCCTAAAGGAGAACACAGGCAGCAACCTCTTCGACCTCAGCCACAAATTCTTGCTAGACACGTCTGTAAAGGTAAGAGAAACAAAGACAAAAATGAACTATTGGGACATCATCAAGATAAAAACTTCTGCACAGCAAAGAAAACAGTCAACAAAACTAAAAGACAACCTATGGAATAGAAGATATTTGCAAATGACAAATCAGATAAAGGGCTAGTATCCAAGATCTATAAAGAACTTATCAAATTCAACACCCAAAAAACAATAATCCAGTCAAGAAATGGGCAAAAGACATGAACAGACATTTTTCCAAAGAAGATATACAAATGGCCAACAGACATATGAAAAAATGCTCTACATCACTTGGCATCAGGGAAATACAAATCAAAACCACAATAAGATACCACTTCACACCAGTCAGAATGGCTAAAATTAGCAAGTCAGGAAACAACAGACATTGGCAAGGATGTGGAGAAAGGGGAACACTCTTACACTGTTGGTGGGACTGCAAGCTGGTACAGCCACTCTGGAAAACAGTATGGAGGTTCCTTAAGAAGTTAAAAATAGAGCTACCCTATGACCTAGCAATTGCACTACTAGGTATTTATCTCAAAGATATAAATGTAATGATCTGACGGGGCACCTGCACCTCAGTGTTTATAGCAACAATGTCCACAATAGCCAAACTGTAGAAAGAGCCGAGATGTCCATCGACAGATGAATGGATAAAGAAGATGTGGTATATACACACAATGAAATATTACTCAGCCATCAGAAAGGATGAATACTTACCATTTACATCAATGTGGATGGAACTGGAAGGTATTATGCTGAGCAAAATAAGTCAATCAGAGAAAAACGATTATCATATGGTTTCACTCATATGTGGAATATAAGGAACAGCACAAAGGATCATAGGGGAAGGTCGGGAAAATTGAATGGGAAGTCATCAGAGAGGGAGACAAGCCATGAAAGACTCTAGACTCTGGGAAACCAGCTGAGGGTTGGTTGCCAGAGGGGAGGTGGGTGGAAGGATGGGGTAACTGGGTGGTGGGCATTAAGGAGGACACGTGATGTGATGAGCACGGGGTATTATATGCAACTGATGAATTACTGAATTCAACATCTGAAACTAATTATGTACTATATGTTGGCTAATTGAATTTAATTTTAAAAAAAAGAAAGATGCTTTCTACACACACACACATCAAAAAAAAAAAAAAGAAGTCACAGTCAATATGATTTCACTCATATGTGGAATTTAAGAAACAAAACAAACAAACAAAGGGAAAAAATGTAAGAGACAAACCAAGAAACAGACTCTTAACTATAGAGAACAAACCGATGGTTATCAGAGAGAAGGGAAGGGGGGGGTTGGGTGAAATAGGTGATGGGGGTTAAGGAGTGTACGTGTTGTGATGGGCACTGGTGATGTATGGAATTGCTGAATCACTATGTTGTACACCTGAAACTAATATAACACTGCATGTTAACTATCCTGGAACTAAAGTAAAAAACTTAAAAAGAAAAAAATAAGTCATGGTCAAAAGCCAAGTTGGGGGGAACTGAGAGAACCTGTATTCTCTTCCCTAAAAATCCCTCCCTAATGTTCAAAGGATGATGTTTTAAATGAGGATGATTAATAAGGGTCTCAGAAGAATAGACAAATTACTATGGAAATCTGGAGAAAGGAAACATGCTTCAAGTTGGAGGGAGGGGTAAGGGAGGAAGGTAATGGAGGAAGGGGGGCAGAGCACAGCAAGCTCATCATAATTTAAAGCTTTGGTGATGTCCTGGGGCCAATTCTCCATTTAACTGCACTTGTCTCTCCTCAAAGTCTGATCTGGAAACAGCAATCTTCCCACTTCTTACTAGTATGATCCAGTGGCACCTACCCTTGCCCAAGAGCCTGCCCCCATGACAGGACCTAGCATCCTCAAGGCCACAGAGCCTTGCTCTTCAAGGCATGATGAAGAGTCCCCTTGGAGCTGTATTCTCAAGCCACAGGAATATAGGATTGGCAGGGCTGCCTCGGAAGCCAGACCGGGGGATGCCTGCTCACCTCAAGCAGATGGCCTCCAGGCCTCCAACTCCAACAAGGATATCTTTGCTTTTACCTATTTGAGGAGGAGTAAATCCTCTGCTTCAAAACTGTTTGAAAAACACTGTCCTAGAACATATCTTCTTCTGAACCTTGGCACACATCGCCAGAGGTCTAATTGATATTCAAAACCAGGACTTTTGAGAGAAAGAGGCATGCCCTCTGGAGGTCTATACAAGAGTTCATGGTAATACCACCCATCCAGTGACAAAGATGCAGAGACAGATTTTTTTTTTTTTAATGAAACAGTTCACCCTCAGCTAACCTCTATTCAGACATCACCGCCCCACGACTGAGGGCCAGGGAGAGCATAAAGAAGAGAATGAGAGAATGTGAAGAGGCAGAGGGAGAAGGCAGCTCCTTCTTGTGGAAGACAGATTCAGGAAGGGTGGGTGAGGAACACCCAGTGTATATTCCCCATAAACCTAGAAGAGCTCATTCCTCTTCTGCCTTCTGAACCCTTAGCTGCATAGAGTCTGTGAGAAATACATTGCTCTCCACAGAAAGAAGCCATTTCCTTGCAAATTGCTTTATTAATCAATTTAGCTGATAAACTAGAGCAGTAGCTACTCACTAACATAGACCTTTGGATTATAAAAAAAATGAAATCACTGGGGACATCATGTCCATGCAAACACAATCAATCTCACTCTGTGAAGTACGAGTTTGGACTGGAGCTGGGACAACTGCTCTTTACCAATGCTAAGTGATTTTTTTCCATTTTCAGCACCCTTGTCCTTCTGAACGGCTTTTGCTCACTCTCCTGATACTTAAAACTCTAAGCATTTGTCAAGGAAACACGCAGGTGCCACTGGCTAATTTAGCTAAGCACAGGCATATCTTATAGAGGTTTGAACAATAACTGCTCAGACCAAGAATGATACTTCCCATTGCAGAGCAATTTATAAAAATTACACATCCAACCCCGTGCCAGGGGAAAACTTCTCCCTTTTGTTAATCTTTCACAGAATAAATGATGGTATTGGAAGTTTGGAGAACAAGCAGTAATTTATCTTGGGCTGCAATGATTAAAAAAAAAAGGGGGGGGGGCATCATTTCAAGAAGAACTTGCTCAGTTTCGTGAACTGCTTTATTAACCATTAGCACAAACCACAGGATTCAGGTTTAGAGGAAAACAAGAGCCTTGAAGCCCAGGCAGCATTTCAAAAAAATCCTACTCTTACTTTATCAACTCCCTTAAGAAGAATAGAGCCCCCTTTCTTCATTATGACCTGCTAAGTCACCTGCCTACACCAAGCCAAAGATATTTCTACTGACAGCACATGGCTAGGAGCTTCCACAGGTGAGCTGGACTACCTTCTATGTAACCTTTTGCACAAAGAGAACGTAGACAATATAAAGCTCAAAAAACTGAGGCAGCCCAAGAAGAGGGCTCCCTGCATGCATTTTTCTGTTCCTTTTTCTAGATAGTGTTGGCTCTGTCATTTCCATCCTTCTTTCTCTAAGAACAACAACCCCAGACTTCAGTGCAGCGCCCTGGTCGGATGACATCGTGAGCCGCAATTACCTGTAAGCCATGCCTGTCTCTGCTCTCGTCGTTTCCTGCAATGAGATTCCATGGACACGTAAGAACTTCTCCAGAAACTTCCGTTCCGCTGCTCCACTGGGCCTCGCTGGCCAGCAGGCTACCTGAGGGGGAGGCTTGGCCACTGCTAGGTGCCGTCTACATTTCAGAGCCAATTCACTGGATTTGGGTAGACCCAGCTTGGAGCTGGGGATATCTGCACAGGCAGGTTTATACAGATGCATGTTTCAAAAACCCAAGGAAGCAGAGCTAATTTCACAGTACTTAGCTCTGAGACTGGCTGTATCTTGCTATGGTTAACTTAGGTTATCTGGCTTTGGCACGTCCCTAAAAGGGATCAGCTCATTTTCCTTAGATGCCCCTTCTTATTTTTGTGTGTGTGAGCAGACTCTTGAGTCCTGGCAGAGCTGCTGGTTACATGTCTCTGCTGAAGCCTTTGCAAAAAAAGAAAAAGAAAAAGACCCTGACAAAGTCCAATCACTTTTCTTGGCCCTGTAAAGTTCCCAAAGTCAAACTTAAGCAACTATGTTATTGGCCCTGGGGAAAAAATATGGGCACTCTTTCCCATGTCTTTCTATTTAGGTAAAAGGAAATATTTTGGTGGGATACAAGCCAAATGTTCTGTTCTCATAAGGATCATAAGGCCTTGCAGATGATTCATGAGTGTGTACTGAGACCTTTCTAAATTATCAAGTATTTCATAATCAAATAATTTATTATACTAGTAACATGATTTATTTGGGTAGAAGGTCCATTAACCTTGTTCTTTTCAAGATGTTGCTATCAAGTGATAGGAAATATCAATAAGACGGTTGTAAAAAGCAAAGGGCCGACACAAATATGCCCAGCTGACTTTTGACAGGTGTAAGAGCAATTCAATAGAAGAAGGATAAGCTTTTCAACAAATGGTACTGGAGGAATTGGACATCTATAAGCAAAAACAAACAAAAACAAATGAACCCTTCACTTAAACTTCATATTTATATCAAAAAAAAAATCAAAATGTATCACAGCCTTAAATATAAAACTATAAAACTTCCAGGACAAATCATAGGAGAAAATCTTCAGGACCTAGGGATAAGTGAAGAGTTCTTAGACCTGACACCAAAAACACAATCCATAAAAGGAAAAATTAGTAAATTGGATATCATCAACATTCAAAAATTTTTCCTCCATGAAGGACCCTGTAAAGAGGATAAAAATCTTTTTTTTTTTTAATTTAAAGAAGTCATAAACAACATTTATTACGTTGGTATATCATACAGACTAGGAGGAAATATTTGGACATATCCAACAAAGGGCTTCTATCTAGAACATATAGAGAACTCTCTAAACTCAACAATAAAAACATAAATACTCCAATTAGCTGGTGGACAAAAGATAGTAACAGACACTTCACTGAAGAAAACATACAAATGGCAAATAAGCCCATGAAAATATGTTCAACATCATTAGCCATTAGGAAGATGCGAATTAAACCCATGACATATTACTACACACCTATCAGATTAGCTAAATAAAAATGCCAGTAACCCCACATGCTGGCAAGGAACCAGAGACACTGGATCGCTCACACATCACTGGTGGAAATGTACATTGGAAAAGAGTACGGCAGTTCCTTATAAAAACCAAACATACCAAACCTACCATATGACACAGCAACTGTACTCTTGGATATTTCCCCCAGAGAAATGAAATCTATGTTCACACCAAAAAACCATACACAGATGTTTGTAACGGGTTTATTCATAATTGCCAAAACCTGGAAACAACCCACTTTTGCTACAATGGGTAAATAGTTAAACGGTGGTATATCCACACTATGGAACACTATTCAGCAATAAAAAGGAATGAACTATTGATACCAGCAACAACTGGAATGGATCTCAAGGGAATTATGCTGAGTGGAAAAAAGCCAAATTACACATGTCAAATAGGACTCGCTTGCTCTCCTTTTTCCCCAACACATCACGGACACTCCTTCCCAGCTTCCCAATCTTTCTGTCAGGCCATCATTCTTTATCTTGTTTTCTAATTGCTTAATATATGTCTTATCTTGCCAACTTTTCAATAAAGTCTTTAAGAGAAAAAAAAAAAAGTCATCATATGTACAATTGCATTTATATCACATCTTGACTTGACAGAATTATAGAGATGGATCACCAATTTGTGGTTGCCAGGGGTTAGAGAAGAGGAAAGAGAGGGAGGTGGCTCTGTCTATAAAAGGGTAGATGAGGGATTCTCGTGCTGGAATTGTTATGTGTCTTGACTATGGTGGTGACCACACCACTCTACATGTGTGATAAAATGGCATAGAACTAACACACAGACACACTCACACACAAAGGAATGCGTGCAAAACCAGTGAAATCTGAATAAGGTCAGGGACTTGTATCATCATCAATTTCTTAATTATGATACTGAACTATAGTTATGCAAGATATCATTATTGGGAGTCACTGGGTAAAGGGATTTATCTGTATTCCTTACAACTGCATGTGAATCAATAATTATCTCAAAATAAAAAGTCAAAAAAAAAGGCAGTCTCCTCATATAAGGGTCCCTCCACTTTGTGACTACAGCTGCAATTCTCCTCCAACTATGACTCTTAGACATGAATGGTCCATCCAGTCCAACAAGCTTCCTACTGCCACCTCACCCATCACCATAGCTTTGCTCATATTACCTCCCCCCTCCCATGTCCTATAAAAGCTCACCTCCTCTAGGAATTCTTCCCTGGCCTCCTAGTTCCTTGTATATGATCATTCCTTGAAATTCCTCTTGCAATTCATGTCTAAAGCACTCACTTGACACTTCTAAACTGTTTCCAAATATTTGCACAAACGATGATCTCTGCCATATTTTTGTACCACCTTTACCATTACTTATTTATTATTTAGAATTAACCTGCTTTTTTTTTTTTACCTAAATGAATATATTTAGTGTTATGAGTTGAACGTCTGTGCCCCCGCCCCCAAATTCATATGTTGAAATCTAATCTCCAGTGTGTTGGTAGTTGGAGGTGAGGCCTTTGGGAGATAATTAGATCATGAGAGTAGATCCCTCATGAATGGGATTAGTACCTTTTTTTTTCATTATGTTATGTTAATCAACATACATTACATCATTAGTTTTTGATGTAGTGTTCCATGATTCATTGTTTGCATATAACACCCAGTGTTCCATTCAATACATGCCTTCTTTAATACCCATCACCAGGCTAACCCATCCCCCCAGCCCCCTCCCCTCTAGAACCCTCAGTTTGTTTCTCAGAGTCCATAGTCTCTCATGGTTCGTCTCCCCCTCCGATTTCCCCCCCTTCATTTTTCCCTTCCTGCTACCTTCTTTTTTTTTTTTTTAACATATAATGTATTATTTTTTCAGAGGTACAGGTCTGTGATTCATCAGTCTTACACAATTCACAGCACTCACCATAGCACATACCCTCCCCAATGTCTATCACCTAGCCACCCCATCCCTCTCACCCCCCACCACTCCAGCAGAATTCTTTTTTTTTTTAAAGATTTTATTTATTTATTTGAGAGAGAGTGAATGAGAGACAGAGAGCACAAGAGGGAAGAGGGTCAGAGGGAGAAGCAGACCCCCTGCTAAGCAGGGAGCCCGATGCGGGACTCGATCCCGGGACTCCAGGATCATGACCTGAGCCGAAGGCAGTCGCTTAACCAACTGAGCCACGCAGGCACCCTCCAGCAGAATTCTTAATCTCAGGAAACAAACTGAGGGATTAGTACCTTTTTAAAAACATTTTTATTTATTTATTTGAGAGAGAGAGAACAGGCACAAGCAGGGGGAACGACAGGGAGGGGAGAAGCAAGGAGCCCGATGTGGGGCTTGATCCCAGCACGCTGGGATCATGACCTAAGCCAAAGGCAGACGCTTAACTGACTGAGTCATCCAGGCACCCAATCTTTCCATTTTCAACCCAGCATCCAAAGCTGAGTCTCTAGGGAGAAAGAAGAGCTTATAGAGAGAGGGCCAGAAAAATCAGAAGGACCAAACAACAAGAGAGAGTCAAGGAGAAACAGGCACTCCCAAGTAAAGTTGTACCTAATGTTCCACCACATACACGAGCCACTAGTTACATCTGATTTTGTGAGCCATAGAAGTTGCCACCAAAGAAGAAGCAGAGGTGAACTAGAAAAGCAGTCATGGAAAATGAGACATTAGCCCTCTTCAACACATCACTCTCTTTTTCTGCCCTCTGAATATGGAGCCAGGCCCAGGAGAGGAGCGAGGGCTGAGCAAGCGAAGATTTGTCTGAAACTGGTCTCTTCATTAAGTTCTAGAAGCTGATCACTCATAAAAGGTCCCAGCTTGAAGGAGGGGAGTAAAAATTATATATATATATATATTTTTTTTAAGATTATATATATATAGAATATATATTATATATTTTATATATTTATAATATATATAGAGAGAGAATATATATATATTATATATTTTAAGATTTTATTTTTTTAAGTAATCTCTACACCGAACATGGGGCTCGAACTTATAACCCCAAGATCAAGAGTCACATGCACCACTGACAGAGCTAGCTAGGCACCCCAAGTAGAAACTATATTTATAAGCAAATTATTGGCCCCTTTGGCTGTCAATGCAAATTAAGATGGGTATTCAATTAAATGTACAAGACTCTAAGAAATGCCTCTGAGCAGCAGAGAGGGGCAGTAATGTCTGCTTCGCTCTCTTTCTGTGTCTCAGGAATGATTGTCATATACTGTTCAGAATCTTTAAGTATTACGCCATCCCAGTGTGGGAAAAAGTGACAATGCCATCTGAGGAGAGAGGTGTTTCTGGTCACGTTCTGCTGATGGGGTGCTGAGATTCAGAAATCACAAACAGAAACTCGCATAGCTCTAGGTGGTGAGTGGGCTTTACCCACACCTGCTCAGGATTCATACATAACTGTGTGACGTTGGGCAGGGCTTGACCTCTCCGTCCCCTTAGTTTTCTACTGGCTCAGACTGAAGTTATCTCTAAGATTCTTCTAGGTCTGGTGCTCTGTGAGTTTTAAAAACTACTTGGGCCAGACATTCTCAGAGGTGAGGACCCTTCCTGTGTTGACTGGAGAGGCTTGGATTCAGTGAATTATTAGCCAGTTCTCTGAGATGCCAGGCCCAGGAGCTTGCTGCTATTATTCTTGGAACAGACCAATCACATTTATAGCCTACTTTTAAATTTTTCTTGGCTAGAGAGATGACCTGTTAAACACTCCATCTTGGATTTATGGGCACATCACAGTTGTCTAAAAATTGTCTTGGCCTATAATTGAAAACTGAGGCCAGAGCTGGTAGGCGTGGGAGAACAAGACTGTGTTTCCCCTTCACCTCCTTTTAGGCTAAAATTTTCCTAGGAATAGAAAACAACAGCTCCAGTGGGCTGGGGGTGGAATGGAGAGCACATGTGACAGTGCGTGGGATGACAGCAGGAGACAAATGGAAGCCCTGTCAAGCTAGC